GGCTCCTCCCGGCCTCAGCCCGCCGAGCTCCGTGAGAGGGGGGCCGGAGGGCGCTGCCCCCCTGGGCAGGCGGTCGCTGCGCTGGTGAAAGGCCGAGCCAGGCTTACGTGACTCTTGTCTCTCCTTTTTTTTTTTTTTTTTTAAAAACTCTCTAAAGTCGCCCGTAGCTCCGAGGCCCCAGAGCCGGTAACCTGAAAGAAGAAAAGCGTCTGCTGTAGGACTTTTTGGGGGGCTGGGAGAAGGCAGTGGCCATGAGGGGAAAAGGGGGTGAGCCGTTCCGTGGCCTGTGAAAGTCGGGCCTGAGGTTACCACCGCACCCTCGGAGAAGAGAGGAGTCTCCCTGAACGTCCTTTTCCCGCAGAGGGAACGGCAAAGCTGCCGGGGCGGACCACGGGTCCCCAGCAGCTCGCCAGCCCCGGCTGAGTGCACGGCGTCCCCGTGGAGTCTTGGCGTAGGCCTGGAGCTGCTCCTTGGTTCCCTTTGCCGCGCTCCGTCTGGGCTTAAAGCCTTGGCATCCCCCTTTGTTCCTGCCAGGAGTTTGTCCGTGGGCCCTGAGGAAGAGGGCAGTTCCCGAGGGCACCGCGGAAGGTGCTGGGTAGGATGCTGTGACTGCTGATTAGTCATAACAGCAGCGAAGAGCAGAGCTGGCCAGCTGAAATCAAAGCGTATATTTAGCCTTAGTTTGCGTTTGAACCCTAGCGTTTTCTTTTTCCTTCAGAAATTTGACCATGTGAGTCAGTGACTCATAAATAGATCATATTCCTCCACGTTCTGCTTTGGGAGAGATACTGGAATAGCAAGCTGCTGTGGAAACTGGGCTTATTCCTGTTAGCTCCCCACCAGCAATCGGAGGTCTTGACTGAGATCCCTTGTTACTAGGCTGCTTTGCTTCCTTTTGTAATTCACTTTATAGAATGCAGGGTTGAGGTGTGGAAAAATGTTGGCGTTTATGTGCATAATTTAGGAAGAAACGTGGTGGATTCTGGTTTTTGTAAGGGTGTGCGTGTGAAATGCTTTCCTTCCTTATTGTCTGTGAGTGTTTGAGGAGGAAGCAAAGAAACCTGGGCTTAAGGATCTAGCTTTTGTTCTTTTAACTGCCCAAGTGCAGCTGAATGCACAAAGCAAAACAAAACAAGGGAATGCATGAACCAAATACTTGGGGAAGAAAGTTGTTTTGCACAGAATGTATAAAGTAACCGTGTGCATATGTAACTGCACTTTAGCTCTTGTCACCTGAACTCCATTTCTAGATGTGGTGGAGCGCAGAGGGAGGGCTATAAGCTGTCCCTGGTAGGAGTGACCACAGGTTTGTGTTTGGTTACAAAGTAAGAACTTGGACCCCACCTTGAGTGCATTACTGAGCTGCTTTGGTTCTGCGTTCTGACAATTTTTATTATATAGTCTCATAAGTTTTCTGGATATTAAGTAATTTAATAAATGCCAGTTCCTTAACTGCCATAGGAATTTGGAGGTGGGACACCTGAAGAAGCGGAAGGGGAAATGTGCTACTGTGCTGTCAAGATGTCATCTGCTCTGCTCTTGCACCCTCCTTCCAGGCCACTCTGTCACTTGCTACCTCAGTGTTTGACAATCAGTTTTTCAGTTGCTCTCATTCTTGTTACCTATCCTGAAATTTCTGAAATGCTCCAAAAAGCTGGCTCATCAGCTTATTCTGTCAGGCTGTAGAACAAGAAGTAGTTTTTTTCTCTGTGCACACTACCTATAGATTATTAGTTAGTCATTTCAAAGGGAGTTTTCATTCAACCTACTGGATTAGGCTTGTGTGAATGAAATAGTCTGTAATAATCATCCTTATAATATATTGTTGGAAAGATAAAGGTAAGTGGACAGAATGATGGTATGTTAAATAACTCTAGTAGAATAGCGATGAAGAAAATAAATCCTCCCTCTGACTCGTGTACCTGAAAAATCTGGGAACAGAAAGCTTTTTTTCATTATGTTTGTTCTGCTTTTTAGAATTTATTTGTTTTGATTTACCTAGAATAAAGGGTATAAAATAGAGCCAGTAGCACCGTGCAGGTCAGGAATTCTGCTCAATAGTCACGTTCCAAAGTGTTAATTAAAAGTGTCCAACTTGATACTCTACAGGAGATAAGGTTTCCAGAAAGTGAGATGCCCAAAATCATTAGCCTCTTAAAAGTGTTGAATGTTGCTTCGTTATTGTTTGCCTTTTTATGAGTTTTCCTTCCTGATCTTGGTACTCCAGCACTCACCCTCTGTTTCTCATGAAAGTCAGACAAGACACTTGAGTTTGTGTGAGTATTTCACAAGGGATTATCTGAGAAATGCAGTAACTCTTGTACTCTGTTGTTGCAGGCAGGTGGACTAATGTCTAGATTGCATGCAAATTCTTAGAGTCGTTTGGATTTCTTTCATAATGCTGAAACTCATTACCTAACAAAGGAAACATAGTATTAGGCAGTATTTACTGCCTAATAAACAACTATTCCTATGCCTTAAATATATATACATTGGATCTAGCATTGGCGACGGTCTTCAGAATTGGATGTTGGTTTGGAGACCTGTTTGAAGACAAGTCTTTTGGTGCAGTGAATGAAGAAAAGACACTAATTTGGACAAGGAAAGAATTCCTTGTTCTCTTCAAAATCATGTCAACGATTGCTCCTAACCTTTTTGCAGTGCCACTAGGAAAACTGAAAGGAGTTTTCAAACCAGCTTGAGAAGAGAACGTGAGAACCAATGGTCAAATTTGCTTTCACTGCAAATATAGCTCTGTTTATGTGTTTAAATAACATTATTGGGAATTTTGGATTGTGTCTCCATCCGTTTTATAAGTAATATAAAATGAGTTGACATGTAAGCAGAGTATGACAGTTCTTCTTTTGATGGTGTTGCAGATGTGGAAGGCTACTGCAGGCCACACCATTTCTGTCAATCAGGATGATGGAGCCGATGACTGGGAGACAGATCCCGATTTTGTGGTATGGCTTTCAAATTTTACTGATTCAGCAAAAGTGTGTTACATAACACGTTAAAGAGTAATTCTTCAGGATGTGGGCTTTGTATAAACTGATATTATAAACTGATAGAAGTATATTCCTGGAAGGAGGGAGAATTAGTGTTTTGTGCCTTTGAGTGATTAACAAAACTATCTTGCCTTGGCTGAGTACTGCAGGGAGGTCTGTATAAAAGAGATTTGTGTCAAGAAGCAGCGGCCTCTTGGGGCCGAAGGTGTGCTCTGTGCATTTCAGCAGGGGGCAAAGCACAGGGCTCACAGCAGAAGAGAAGTAAAGGTGGTAGCAGCTGCTTTTCTAACTCTTCTGATCTCGTCAACTACTGAAGGTTTTCGCTGTGAAATCTGAGTGCAGATAACTAGTAATGTCTTTGGGTTTTTAACTCTTTTATGTGTGTCCTTTGCAGAATGATGTGAGTGAGAAAGAACAGCGCTGGGGAGCTAAAACTGTGAAAGGATCCGGCCATCAAGAGCACATCAAGTAAAGCAGCTCTCTTTTAAAATTTATTAATAGTCACAATCCCAGGTGAATTTTAATCAGCTCATGTTCTCGGTTACTTCTGTCTTCATAATTAAAGCTCTGTAGAAGTAGAGCTCTGTAGAGGCTCTGTAGAAGATGGATTATTTGCCAGATTGCTGATTTTTCAAATATGTTAGTATCTTCAGACCTGAAGTTAAGATCAGAAATATGGTGTAGGGACTCTTCAGTTTTTCTTTGTAACTGGTAATGTTACTTTTCCTGCCTCTTTGTGTCTGGAAAGTTTCTTTGTTCTGTTCTGGTGCAAGAGCCAATACTGCTGAGGGAGAAGTTTGTGTTGAGTGATCTGAGCAGCTCCAGTTTGGTACTTTAAGGATACATTTGGCCCCTTAATTCTCAGGCTTTGTTTAGAAAACTGCTACCAAACTCATGAAAATTCTGGCAAAGTAACAAATTGAGCCCTCTGGCAGAAAAGTGAGTGCATCAGGAAGGGCTATGTGAGACAGAAATGATCCTTCTTGTACTTGCTATGAAAAGTCTCTTAGGACTTTAAAGTTAAGTAGTTTTAGGAAATGTGTGATTGTGATGTTTGTTTTGGTTTTGCTTGTGTATTTCTGGGGTGTCAACCCTTGTGGTATAAAGCTAAGAATAAATGTCATCAGTGTTGCAAATAGAGAGAGAGACTGCACTATGCGGCTTACTTCAGGGATCAATTTTTTTCTGCCCTATGTGGAGTGCAGTGGGAATACCTACTGGCTGAATTATGCCTGAGGAAGCTTTAAACTCAGGTGGGAAGTGTTCTAAAGTACAGATTACCATCTTGGTTTGTCCTTCTTGTATGTAGCCTGCACTACCGTAAGTTCAGTTCCTGCATAGAGCAGGGGAACACTTGGGGAAGAGGAGGTGCATGTCTCCTTGCATCCTTATTGTGCATTACAGTTGTGTCCAGACTGCTCAGTTAGAATTAGAGTCCTGTTACCATAGGGACTGTATGATAAGAGATCCCTATTCTGAAAAGTTGCCATCTAAATAAAAAGTGTTGGAAAGAATTTAAGACATGAGAAGAAAATGCATTTCAGGCACATACAAATTCTAGATAATTGATTGTTTAAATAGCAAAACACCCTTCCATGCTAGTCTTAAAATCTGTGCTTTCTTTTGTTATTTAGGCAATGTTTTGCAGTGGAATAAATTCTGTTTCTCAGAATGTAAAGTGCTTTGTGCACTGAAAAAATGGGAACAGCCTGAAAAATTGTCCAACTTCTAATTAAGATAATATTTTTGTATTCTTTCTATTTTGCATCTCTTTGAAGTTATCTTCTGAAACTTTGTTAGTAAAACTTGCTGCTTAATTATCTGTCTTTAAAGTATTCATCAGCTGAGAGAAAATGTATTCCAAGAACACCAGAACCTCAAAGAGAAGGAGCTTGAAACAGGACCAAAAGCTTCCCATGGCTATGGAGGGAAATTTGGCGTTGAACAAGATCGCATGGATAAAGTAAGTATGAGTGTTTCCTTAGGATGATACTGTAAGCCTTGCCTGTGGCCAGCACAACAATATATGCGTACTAGACTTGTTGAAGGTGCAAAGTTGGAACAGCTTTGGTTTGGAGACATAGAAACTCAGATAAGGGCATAAGCTATATACAGCAGTGGCTCATTTTGATGGCAGAAGCATCACTCTTAACAGTGCTCTAACAAGGACACTTGTAACACTTGTAACTCACATCTGTCAGGCCATCATGCTCTGTTCTTCAATTAAATCAAGATGCCCTTACAGAAGAACTGAAATAAAGCACTTGAAGCATCAGGAACAAGTCTTTCAGGTGGCAGATGAGGAATTTGTGAATGATGAGAAGTTCTGGGACGTGCAGTGGCCCCACATGTTTTTGTTTGGTGCCTGCTCTGTCTTTAGAGCAAGTCTGCATGCTTATGTCCTGAGTCAAGATTCAAGCTTCAAAATGCAATATTTCTAAATTAACAAAGTACTTCATGCATCAATAAATCCAGTACTTTTTTTTTTTATTTCGATGCTGTTCCAGCTCTTCTATGCATACAGAGGTTGCCAAAGAATGAAGAAAAGAGTGTGCTGCTGCTTTTAGATTAGAGGGCAGTGGTAAACTATGAACAGTGACAAGTCATCCAAGTATTTAAAAAATCATTTTACTTCAGTCAGAAGGTAATGTTTTACATAAGGACTTAATGGCCATTTAAGTTACACAAAAGAAATTATAATTCTTAAGGTAATTACATTAGCCATGTGATAATTAGACAGGCATATCAACTTCTGGCTAGTTTCTTTCATGTGCTCTGTTAAAATAAGAGCCAAACTGTTTCTTGAATAAGAATGATTCCCTTTTCTTACTTTATCTACTTTCTTCTTACTTTATCTACTTTCTGGGTTTCTAGTAATTTGGCAGCCTTAAATTTTTGCTGGATTCCTATATTCCAGAGTAAATTGCTGTATAATTCTCAGTGGGCCTTTGAAATGGGCTAACCTAACCTTTGAGTCTGGGAAAGGAATTGCTGAGCAGATTCAGCCATTAGGCTGCGTAGCTCACTAGTGTCAGCAGTTTCTCTCTTACCTGTGTCCACGGGGAAAAAAGAAACAAAAGTGAGTACTGTTTCCTGTAGGCCAGAATTAATCATCAGGAAATACATGATGGTCATGCCCATCTGAGTGATACTGCTGACAGAAAATGTTCATAATTTTTTTTTTTAATAAAGCTTTCTTCCTTATAACTATAGTTCTAAAACCTAGCCATGGAGCTCTCGCCCTCACAGTTGTCTGTGGCTTGTGCAGGTGTGCTAGCAGTAAGGTTTGACTCACGTGAATTAAATGTTACTGCAGTGTTGTCATGGTACAGGTTTTTGCTGCATTTAGGACAAAACCTTGATGCTGAGTTAAAAAGAACAGTTATATCATTCTATATGCCAAACCTCTGTAACTGATTTGAAATGTGGCAGAGCATTGTGCTGAGGAATTGTGAGGACAATTTACTCTGGAATACAGATTTCCAAGAAGAATCTTTTTCTAAGCCTTTTTAGAAAAGAGATGTATTGTAATGCTTGATGTTTGATGAAATGCAGAAAGTTCTGGTACCACATAAAGAAAACAGCATGGTTAAACCATACCTGCCTCCATTGGTATAATAAAAGAGGGATCATGCAAAACCACCTAAAACCTGGGATTTTTAAAGCTTCATGTCTTCCATTAATGTAATGGGTAAGGGGAAGAAGAAAGGGAGGTGGGAGCCTTTTCTGTCACATTAAACAGTTACTCTGCTACAGAACACCTGCAGAATGAAAAAGAGTATGACTGTTTCTGTCAGGAAAAGAAAGGAGCTTTTATAATAACTTGTAAGTCAAGGTAATGTCCTATTATTGACATCCTTGTTCTGTTACCTGGCAGTTACTTCAGTCATTATGTGTGGTAATGTTTTGCTTTCCTACGTGCTGGGAATTTTCCCTCCAGCACCTGTGTTTCAAAAAAAAAAAACCAAACCAAAAGCAAATACTGTAAAAGCCAAGTTACTTGTGGTTTCTAGACACCTTGTGTCCTCAAATTGATTCATCTTGGTCCAGCTGTCTGCTGCTGGCACGAGCTAAGCAGTCTCTCATTCCTCAAAGGTTGGAGTTTGGGGCAGGTGCTTGGAGGTCGCTGTGCTGACCCTGAGTGTCTCAGTTACAGTGACCAGTGCTGAGTCAGGAGAGGTGCAGGGTGCAGCCTCTCACAGCTGTGTGCAGCAGGTTAAAGCATCTTCTCCTTCTGCCTCTGACGGGAGATTTTATGCATTTGAGCAGCAGGCTCAAACTTTAAAGTGACAAATTGCAAGTTGCTCTGGCCAGCGCTCAGTTTTGGCACTGGACAAGAAAAAAGAAAATTATCCTGTGTTATGTAACACCCCTCAAAGGTGCTAGGCTCTAGCATTGATTCCAGGATCTAGAAGGCTGTCCTAGCACTAGATTAGTGTAACACTAGCAAATGCTATCTGAATGTACTTCCAGGTATGTAATTACATATCCTTGTGTCTTCCCTGAAGCCAGTCACAGTGCGATGTAGCGGCGCCTCAGTTTGCTGTGTTCAGCTCGAGTTCCAGGGACAGGCTCAAATTGGAGACTGCGGGGCTAGGATGCCTTTGGCATGGGGAGCTCTGTCTTGGTGTGGGTGCATGGCTTCATCTTGCGACGCCATTTGGCAAGTGAGGAGAAAGTATAGAGAGAAGACACCTAATTTTGACTTAAGCAGATCAGGGTGCCTGCCCAGAAGAATGCCAATGGAAAACCTAGCCGTGGTTGTATTTGGTTGCAGTCTAATACCAGCTGAACCAGATCTGTAGCTATGTGCCTAAATACAAGGCTGTGTATTTTATCTAGAACTAATCCTTATTTTAAATTCGGTATGAAGACTCTGTCTCTATCTTTCTTGTTTTCATTCCTGTGCTTCTGAATTAAAAACCCAGAGCATAAAACAGTCTTCATAAAATACAGTCATTGCTGTCAGACTCTTTCTTGGCACGACTAGGCCGTACTGGTAGTCTTAGGAAGACTTCTCGAGTGAGTAGCAATTTCCAGGGAAGTTTGTTTCAACAGGAAGAGTGGCAGCGATGCACGTTTGTAATGAAGCTTATCCTCAAGTTACTTGGAGCAGTGTTTTCTCTTACATACAGCTGTATAGAACTGTTCCCTGTTTCTCAACTTTCCAATTTCTTTTAGTCAGCTGTTGGACACGAATATCAATCCAAACTTTCTAAGCATTGCTCCCAAGTGGACTCGGTGAAAGGGTTTGGTGGCAAGTTTGGAGTCCAAACTGATAGAGTTGACCAGGTAAGCAATTTCATCTTGTACTTCAGCTACTCACAGTAGCTGAGTTTCTCATTGTTTACATAAGGCTGAAAAAATATCTTACCTTAAAATGCTGCTGTGGTCTGTTCTTCCTGCTGTATTTGAAGTTGAGCAGTAAACTAACACTGACTATTATGGAGATAAATTGCTCTTTGAAGCAAAATAGAAGAAAAGCCCTTATGGGAGATTGAGATGAGTTGAAAAGGAAACTGGAAAGAGATGTTAAAATATGCCTTTTAGCCAGGCTGTGCTCTCTGATGAGGATAAAATCATCATGAATGCCACAGAAGGGAGGGATTTGGGGATGGTTTGTCCTGTGTCACAGCATGAGCTACTGGGCAGGGTAATTGGTGTCCTGTTCCAAGACAACCCCTGCATGGAAATGCTGAATTCCTGTTGTACTGAATTGCTGAACCTGGCAAAACTAGAGTATGTTGCTAGTATAATTTGCTTTGGCAAGGGATGACAGAAACCCTTTTATGAATACATGTGCCAAATTATCATGTAAATGAATATGGGCTATAAGTAGATATTTCTGCTCCTGATCAAGAAGGTCAGAGCAGTGTGGAAAGACACAGGAAATTCTGTGCTGTTTGTCTGCTGAAGTACATGCAGTTTTTTTAAAAATATCTAACTCCTTGTCACACATGCAATTTTATTTCTCTTCCAGTCAGCTGTTGGATTTGAGTATCAGGGGAAAACTGAGAAGCACGCCTCCCAAAAAGGTAAAGTGGTGAGCTGGTCATCTCTGAAGACACATGCTTTTACAAATAATAGAACAGATCTCTATTATTTTATTGTTTGTAAAAGACCTTGTTTAATGAGGCCTCCAAATGACTTTCTCAGTGAGTCAAATGTTGAGGGGTTTGGGTGGAAGAGAAGATGAAAAAATGAATTTCAAAGCATTTTCATGAGTTGATGAGGTTTTAAGACAAGGAAATAGCGTGTTATTGTGAGTCTTACTTTTCTTTTAGAAGTGAGGTTCAAGGACATTTTAGAAAGACTTGGAGTTATTCTTTGCTGTATTGCACCCTGTTGGGAATAGGGAGTAGATTTAAGAGGAACCATCATGAACTATAGGACTGTTTCTCTGTCTAATTTTTAGCTTAATTTTGTGTGCTAAAGAGATAATATTTCAGTTCTGAAATTCCCCCCCCCCCAGTTGATAGGGTATGATGTTCCCATTAAAAGTTTCTTCATTTTGTTTTTATTGTGTTTTATTCTCAATACAGACTACTCAAGTGGTTTTGGTGGAAAATATGGAGTACAGGCTGACAGAGTGGACAAGAGTGCAGTGGGGTTTGATTACCAGGGTAAAACTGAGAAACACGAGTCACAGAAGGGTGAGTAGACACACATCTTGGTGGGTTTGTACTCTGCTGTAGTAGGCTTTCATGATAGGTAGTGTTGTAATTTTTTACATGTGTTGCACTCCTAACCTGCTGAAAGTTAATGCTGAATAAAATTTATGTTGCTGAAACTTTGACTTCTGAAGAAGAAATCTAAAACATAGGTTCTGACTGGTTTTAAGTGATGATCCAACTGCCATTACTTTGGAAGCAGGGCACATAGGTTTGTCTGGAGGTTTTTTGCAACTACTTTTGAAAAGCTGTAGATTAAAGTACTGAGACTGTAAGCAGTTTAACCACAACAGATAATTGTTTCTAAAAGAATCAGCTGTTTGTAGATGAAAACATTTATTAGACTTAGTCGCATTTAGAGTTAATATTGTGGTGCTAATTAGGTTTCCAGGAATATCTGATCAAAAATCAACTATTCTATTGAAAAATGTGACATTTTTCGCATCTCTGTTCTGTTTATCTCCAAGAAATGCTAAAGAGAGGAAGGGGGTATTTGTTTAAAAGCATCCAGGCTGTTGCTGACATGGTTTTTTGAAGTTCGCTTTGTTATTAAGTATCCTAAGATTTTTATCAAGGAGTCAAGTAGCAGAATCGCTGATACCACCCAGCAGTTGAACTACATATGTTGCTATTTTATTTTCCATACTGAGAAAATGTATTCTGAAAAATTTATGACTTCAGTGTGTGAAATCAAGATTAACTGGGGATGTCAATGCTTATTCAAGTTAATATTTTGTTATTGAACACTTACAAACAGAATTCTTCACTCTTATCTCTAGATTATTCCAAGGGCTTTGGTGGTAAATATGGTGTTGACAAGGACAAAGTGGACAAAAGTGCTGTTGGCTTTGAATATCAAGGCAAAACGGAAAAACATGAATCACAGAAAGGTTTTTATTATCTTATTTAAAAATACTAGTTCAATCAGCCTTTTAAACCTGGGAAGAAATATTTTGCTTGGGTTTGGGGTTTGGGGTTTTTTTTTGTGGTAAATGTGTGTTTGCCCTATGTGTACACAGATTTTTATTTCCCTTAAATGAAAAAGAAGGCATTGTAAACTGTCCCTGAGCTTCACAATCTGATTTTCAAGGGACCTTATGTTCATATGGACGTTATTGAAATAAATGTGTAATTGCACAGATTTGTGGTATTCAGAGGCAGTCTCAAGTCCTTCATTATTTATATATCTACATTGCACATATATATACATGTGTGTTATATGGCTTTAGGTGGAAAGTGCATCAGATTCTTCAAACCTTTGAATATTACTGAGTCTGTATGCTGTACCCTTCACTGGATTTGTGGCACTTCTTTGCATCGTGATCCTAGAGTTACTGAATGGGTGTCGTTACCCTCTGTTGAGGTAGTATAGTGGGGGAAAAAAGAGTGAAAGACAGCATCATTAATCACAGGGCAGGTTATCCCATAACTGTTACTGTTTTTTTATTAAATACTGTTTAAAGTCATGAACTGCAATAATCTTTTCTGAAACTTCATGCAAACAGATTATGTAAAGGGGTTTGGAGGCAAGTTTGGTGTGCAGACAGACAGACAAGACAAATGTGCACTTGGCTGGGATCACCAGGAGAAAGTGCAGCTGCATGAATCCCAGAAAGGTATATCAATTCCCAATTCTTTGCCATTCTTTCTGATTTCCCTCATTTTGACTTTTCCCTGTGTAAACCCTCCTCCCCTGATATCTGGCCACGGCCTTACAGTAGCTGACATGAGTCTCCTTTTTCTGTGTTTGAACGGTTGCTGTGTATTGGTTGTACTGGTGTCTGCCAAGCAGGTAACACATCTGATGCTGAGTCCCTGAAAGTTCAGACTTAACACTAAGTTCTCACTGGAGAGAAGCTTTATGATTCAGTAGATAGCTTGGATTATTTTTTTCCTTTTTCAGTTGACTTTTGCAAACCATGGATTAGCAATTTCTTTTTAATTTCCACAAATAATCTTCCTTTTCTGGTTTCTGTTATGTATACCCCCATTTTGATGCAGGGGAGATGTAACATCTAATGCTGTCCTTTCTCATTGCCTGCAAGGAAATACTGGTACCCAGAGAAAAGTTGCAAAATAACGATTGCTCCCTAACCCTCTCACAACTCTTATATTAATTTTTTTACTCTTATATTAATTTTTTTTTTTTTTTAGTTAAAGAAATGAAAAGTTCTCCTTAGAATCTTGTTCTGTTGGATGCCCCAGCAGATTTGTTGTGAGAGGATTACTGGAAGCCTGTTTCTTTTTGTGCCCTCATTTTATACCATATATTAAAATAGCTTTTCTAAGGCAGCAGTAGGCAATGGTCATAGCTCTTAGCTGAGAGCTTTTTTGTCTTCAAGCTGTGCAGCAGCAGGAATATTCCTCCTTCTTTTAAACAATGCTGTGTAGGAATGTCTTGGGGATAGTTTCTGTGGACCCTATCCTAACACCTCTTTAAAAGTCAGATCTCTAGTGTACAAATTAACCACACTGATGAAGGAAGCTCATTTTATTCTCTTGTATCCTTTTGTATGCTGTTTTGTTTTGGTGAACGTACTATGCGTGCGTTTGTGTTCATAATGTTGACCAAAATGCAGGTGCATTATGCAGTATGTATGAAGAATGTGAATTGCTTTTTTCTGTGACTTCAGAATGGTGTTCTTATGTCTGATAAATCAATGTTGAACTATTCCTAATCTCAAGTGGAAACTTCTTTTGAATTTACTCTTATGAAAGTGTATTTTTTTCACCATCCAAAATTATTGGTAATTGAAAATACTGCAAAAATTATTTTGAGTGTCTCTGACTAAACTTCTTTATTTTCCTCCCTTCATTTTAATTTATTACATGTGGCTTTTTCAGACTATAAGAGTGGTTTCGGAGGGAAATTTGGTGTACAAACAGAAAGGCAGGACCCATCTGCTGTGGGGTTTGATTACAAGGAGAAACTAGCCAAGCATGAATCTCAACAAGGCACCGTTTTCACTTGTTACTTTCTTAACAGTGCAGCCACTTCTCACACAGTCTTAAATAGTTGTCTGAATAGATTGATGCTAGTAATGTGCAGACACTTCCTTGCGCTTCTATTCCTACGTGATCTAGCAATTTTCTTCCATTTTATTCTTAAAATGTTAAATAAAGCAAGCCTGTATTCAGGAAACAGATATCCAATGTTGTTAACAGCTCTGCGACATTATGCATTTAGTTAATAGCTATACATACAGTGTGATAATAGCAACATTATTAGTAGTGTGATGTTAATGACGTCGTGCTTACCAGTTTTAGAGTCTAAATGTGAAGTTTTGCCTGGATAAATTGGTGGAAAAATATTCAGATAAGGACCATGCATGTAACCATTAACAAGCAATGAGTTATGGCAAGATCATTTTAAAATGACTGTAGTCTTTAAAACAAGAAGTAGGGAATGTTTGTGGTTCTTGGGTGAGCAAATACTGTTATAATGCTCTCTTTATTCATTGTGAAATAGTTGGGGTACAAACCATGAATTCCTGGTTTTCCGTTATCTTAAAGTGAGAAGTCTGGATCAGGAAAATGTAAGTGTAGTATATTTATTCTGGCTGAAAATACATACAAAGCTGAAGAAAATAAGGTTGTTCATTCTGATAGTCAATATTTTTCTGTGCTACAGTGACATGAATTCAAACGTTTAGAGAATCAGATGTGCCTTAGCAGAGCCCAAGTACAAACACTAAAATAGCTGGCTAGGGGACCCAAGTGGTTTTGGGGCTGAGAGGAGAAGGAGTAATTGTAATTGTATTCCAGGGACATATAGGAAAGCCTGTCCACTTACAGAATCTAAGGGCACATTCCTACAGCTCACTGCCACCAGAAAGAGGTGTTTTTCCAGCCACACACTCTTGCTGCTTCTGTTGCGCTGGCTCTGGTGCTCGTCAGACATTTCTCTGAGTACAACTCACTAGAAAAGAGCAGAAAGCTACTCTTGTTAGGGTTGGTTTGTTTTTTTTCTTGTTAATGCCACTAGTGAGTTAAACTGATTTTGGAGTAGAACAAGTGCTAGAGTCAGCATCAGGTGAGAGAAAGAGTGTGCAGCTCAGGGGCGGTACGGAATAGCATGGCCACCCATTTCTGTGGTGGTGAGTTGTTGCAGGCTCGTGCTGTCTTGTGGAATTGCCCCTTTCCACATGTAGAGCAGAAGTTATGACCAGTAACTTTAATGTGCATCAGTTGGGTATCACGACCAAATCCACTGGAATGAGAAATTTGTTATATTTTCCTGCCATTCATAGAATTTACCAAGTTAAAGAGAGAAAAAACACCTCTGTGGTCACCGAAGACTGGATATCGCTCCTTTGAGCAAAGCAAAATGGCTTAGGTTATATGATTACTGCAGAGGGCTAAGAATTGGTGCTGTGAAAGGCTGTGTTACAGAAGTGATGCATTAGAAGGGCTCATCCCTTATTCCTTGCTTGATACCTTATCAATCCTCAGCTTAATGTTTACTCAAAGAATGCATGTGGCCCACAATCTGTCATCTGCTGGTGTACCTGAAGGCTCTTGCAGTTATGTATCCTTTCTGCATCAAAAACCAAGTTGCATTTTCTTTGGCGGCTGTCACTGTATCTCTGCATGCAGCTGAGATGGCTATTTGCATTTGAAATGGCTGTTTGCATTTGGCAGAAAGATGGGAAGGACAACAAAACTCCCCACTCTAACCCTTTTATCCTGCTTTTAGATTATTCGAAAGGATTTGGTGGGAAGTATGGTGTACAGAAAGATCGGATGGATAAGGTAAGGTGCTTAAAAGAGCCGTGACTTATATAGTCTGTAGGGATAAAAAATCGTTTGGTTAGATCTGTAGTGTTCAGCTCTTTATTTCTGGATACTACTCCAGTCTAACAGTAGAGTTCTGTGCTTTTCTAAATCTTTAAAAAGCAAGTTTATACACACAGAGCTGATGCCAGTTTATACACACATGTATGTTTGTAGATACATGTAGTGTGTGTATATGCACTTAAGTAGGGAAAACTGAATCATGGAAATGAAAGAATACCAAAATTTATATGAAAGAATGAGAAAATCCATTAATTCCGCAATTTCAGTCATGTCTTCTAACAACTAGCTAATGCCTTATATCTTGAGGATATCCTTTTAGTGGACTGCTTAAAATAGGTGTCTTGATATTTGCCAACTTTGCCCACTTTGATTATCAGTGTTCTTCTCTTCAGGAGAATTTTTTTTAGTAGTGAAAGATAAGGCAGCTGATACCCCTTTTCCACCTGTCCATTTTTTAAATTTAAAAACCTAGAAGATTAAAAACTCCTCACTGAGATTTATCTACTGAATAAATTTACTCTCAGCTTTATGTAGGACATTTAAAAGTGAGAAAGTAGCAGAGTTTGAAAGTCTGTAGGATTTTTTCACTTGTGGCTTCAGACTCAAGATGATTAATTTAAAAAAAATCATCTTATATAATATTTTGAATACTGTTCTCAAAACACTCCCTCTGTTTTAACAATATCTGCTTCTTTAATGGGAGAGTGGATGCTTTTACCTTGGTAGAAATCCTGCATACTGTGGCTTAGAAGAGCAACAGCTATACAATAAATGTTTAGGACATTGACTCATTTCTAATTCTGATGAGTCATCTGTTCATAAACCAATTTTTTTAATTAACAAGATTTTAATGTGTTTAAACCTGTCCCTGAAAATTAATTCTTACATAGTTTGACTTACAGAAAGAATTATTCCATTTCTCAAGTTTTGATTCTTCCTGATTTTGTTTTGGTGTTCTGAAAAAAGCCATAGGGGCAATATCACAATAAAATGTCACAGATTGAAACTGTCTAAATGTCTTTGTGAACTTGTGTTTTTCAAATGTACTCTTTATCTCCTTACTGATAGAATGCAGCAACTTTTGAAGATATTGAAAAACCAGCATCAACTTATCAGAAGACCAAGCCAATAGAAGCTGGTAAGGCATTGACCCCAAATCCTTCCTTTGGAGGTGAATAGTGTTCAAAAGCCCAGGATATTACTGTTGATTTAGTAATGCTGAGTGAGAATCATTTAGAGGGAACTGCTATATATGCAGGTCTCCAGGAACCTCGACTACTTTCTTCCTTCTCCCTGTAGAGATTGTTTTGGCTTGTTGAGATCTAGTGTTTTTTTTTTCCCTTGGGGGTCATCAGATTTGAGGAAGGGAGAAGAAAAGCATCAGGTTGGAGAATGGACTGAGGAGCAAAATGATGAAGACTGTACCGTGAAGGAGAGGAGGGAGAAATGTTGCAGAGGTTTTTATATACAGAGAAATGTGGTGCACAGGAGTTTTGGGCTTGGAAGGGAAGAGGGAGAAAGAGGGATAGAAGGACTTTGCTGAACAGGCAGGCAGCTCAGAGAGCAGAAAAGCAGAAACATGTTAAATCCTAGCAGAAAATTGTACCCAAAGCTCATTCCAGGCTACCTTTATACAGAACCTTAAACAATAACATTTGACTTTAATTTTTGTAAATGTTACAGTTGCTAATAAAACAAGCAGCATCCGAGCTAACTTTGAAAATCTAGCCAAGGAAAAAGAGCAGGAAGACCGAAGGAAGGCAGAAGCTGAGAGGGCACAAAGAATGGCCAGGGAGAAACAAGAACAGGAGGAGGCTCGAAGGAAACTGGAGGTCAGTAAGATTCAAGTCCCATTTGAGCAGCATGTCTAGTGTGTTTCAGTGCAATGCTGGGAGAAAAGAGAATCTTCTAAGAAAAAATACTTTCCTTCTTTCTAGCTAGGCTTTAAAATTCTTTGTGTGTTTGCCTGTGATTGTACCTGTGCTTTACCTGTTTGTGATTCCAGCCATCTATTAAAATGTACTATATCAGACATCAGATAGCTTGATTGGGTGACAATAGTATATAATTTTTTTTATTCAGCCTATCCCAAAATATGTATGCTAGTCATGAGCACTGATCTGTGCCGTCTGAACTTATCCTATGGTACTTCTGCCTTTTGGAAATACCAGATTCGCTTGGGCATGGAGAAACTCATAAGGGGAGAGACACGTGGTCCCTGAAAGGCCCTACAGGAATGCTTCTCCGAGAAGTTTAATACCATGGTGATGGCTGGTGTTGCTGTTTTTTTGAAATTGGTATCGTGGAAGATGGAGGTGGTGTCACCAATTCACACAGCACACGCCTGTGAGATGAGGGGAGATAATCTTCCAAATGTTAATTGAATCTTAGTTTGAGAATTGAGAAAATTAGTTTAGCATTGGCATGGTTAAAAGCTTCGTGAGTTCTGTGTTATTCATAAGCAAAATAATTCCAGGAAATGTTTAGTCAGAAACTGCATCTTATCTGCTTTATAGAATTTGCATATTTGGGGAAGTTCTGCTGCTGAGATGGAAGGAATAGTGCAACTTGTCCTTCATGTCTTGTTCATTTGCTTTGTTATACAATGCCTGAGGTGCCTTATCAGCCGTCCTGAGGGCCTGCTGTCTGCAGCTGTGTAACCTTTCATGCAAGCTGCTGTGGCAGCTTCCCTTGTCCCATGCTGTTGTTCTGATTTCATGGCCCTTGGAAACCCTGACATTATGGCAGAGTGGGAAGAAATTGATGCTGATGTAAGAATAGTCCCTCTTTTCCCCTTCTCCTTCACTTCTTCTGTTACAGGTATTAGTTTATACTAGGGAAGACTAAACATAGGACACAAAAAAAAAAAAAAGATAGTAGTCTTTTAAATTCTGAATAAATGCTACTTAGCCATACATGTGCACTGAGACTTAATAGCCAACCAGTATGCAACACTGATGTTGAAATAGCATGCTCCAAACAGTGCTAATAGTGTTCCAAACAGGAGTAACCAGTAGGGAGATTGAGCCAGTCCTGATGAAAGCTCTGTAGTACTTAAGGAGATGCACAGGAAAACCAGTCATCCCCATTATCTTCATCATTTCCACTTGCTGCGCCGAAGAGACTCTCCCAGGGGAGAATGCTTGTCTGGGCTCCTCATCACTGCTCTGTCTGGCTATGGGGGAATTTTCCTATTTCCTTCTTTCTTTTGTCTCTCTCTCTCGCTCCTCTTTTGTTTTTATTTTCTGTCAGAAATATATTTCATTCTTAGAGCCAATGTGTGCCACCAGCTGCAGACCCCACTAATAAATCTTGCATATCAACTTGTCTCAACATCCTCTTGTGAGACATCTGAAATCCAGGAAAGACTGTCAGATGGTTTCTCAGGTCCGCTGGATCCTTTGCCTAACGACAAGTGGGACAGACCCAATGACTGGTTTCTCAGATGTGGTAGATACTTTGCCTTAGTGGGATGCTGCTACAGGATGCCAGGGTGTGGTGTTGAACCCATTCCATCAGCATGGTCTTAATTCATCACAAATTTAGACTTCGTATAAATAATTTGTTTTACAAGTATGAAAAACTAAATGCATGGTCGGTAATGCAGCTCCAATCTTCCTAAACTAAGAAAAATACACTGCAGTGAAACTGCATGTTACTTCGCAGTAACTAAACTAGCCTAAATTAGCGTGGCTGCTAACAGCAGCGCTCTCAAGCTGCCTTATTCCTTATGCCAGCAAAGCATCTACAAATAAAACATCTAGTTAACCTGAATCAGTTCCCCTGACTGGTTCATTGGTTGGCTTCTCAACTCTGCCGTTCACAGGTGTGTAGGCCAGTGCTGCTTCTGAAACAGCTCTGTGATTTTGCTGTGCTGAAACTGCAGGGTTCATGTATCTTGTGTATATTTGTTTAGATTGTGTATCTTGTTGATTTCTGAAAACTGCTAACTTCTGAGTTCTGTTTGGAATCTGAGAAATTCTAGCTTTATAGGATAAATCAAATTTCTTCATCTAAAGTGACCACTACTTTTTCTTCTTTCAGTTCATGACCTCTTTTGCCTTATGGCTTCAAGATGTATGGTGTGAGCATATGTTCACTGCATACATATATCACAAGATGAATGGGCGTTCATCTTTGCTTATCAGTGATGTCTTCTTAATGCTGCCTTACATGCTTGTGTACTTTGTGGACTTTTAATACCTTCCCCCAACCATTGTTTGTGTTTCTTTACTGTCCTGGACTAAATTATTTACATCTTCAAGCACAGCATCTGCCACTCTCCTAAAGGTGGTAGCAGAAGAGGTAGAGCTGAAGTTGAGAATTCAGTCTTTTCTATTTGATAAGGTCAGCAAGCTTGCTCAAGGGTGCCGCTCTTGGTCAACTTGGACTGCTCTGTGTCATTCTCAGCATTGGCACCAGCCTCCAGCACTGAGCCACCCAGAGAAAAGTTGAATGTTTGCCTTGAGGAGAGGCACTTTGTTTTGCTCTCCTCAGAGTGGTAAAGCTGAAATGCATCCAGTCTGTACAGTTGCTCTGGGAGCTCTTCAGATGAGAAAAGTTGAATGCCTCAGCACTTGCTCGCTTCAGAGTCACAGCAAGTGGCTATCACCATGTGTCACCACCTTCTGGTGTAGCCATTCAGCTAGTAGCCCCAGAGCTCCTCTAGCTATTGCCAGGCTGTCTCTGCTCCTGAACTACTGCCCACTGTTCCCAGCATGTTTCAGTGTGTTTAAACTTATGTGTTGCCAGTATCTAGGTCTAACACCTAGTTGTTTCCCTAAAAAAGTGATTTTTTTCACTTCTCATCTTCCCCAGTTCTTGTCCTGGCCACCAGCACTGCAACTGTAGTCAAAGATCTATGGGCTCTGTTCCATGGGGTGACGAAGAATGGGAACGAATATTCTTTTTGGAGACAACCTTGAGGTGTACATTGCTCTTGAAAGTATAGCTTCAGTCCTCCTTCAGGAGATCTCCCTTTTCTTGGCACTTGTTTTCCTCTGTCAGCACATTGGATCTGGATAGTGTATGGACTTGTGACTTAGAGCAAGCAGCATTGTTATCTTTGCAGGATTTAATTTAGTAGATACTTTTACAGTTCTCCAAAGAAGGAAGAACCGTGATATAAGTTGATGGATATCATAAGTGTTGAATTGTTAATAAGGCCATTCTGCACCCATGAGATCACTTTGGACAGCCCTTACTTCCAGTTACTGCTGAGAATTGCTAAGAAGTATCAGTCCCAGAGGAAAATGGACTTTCTCAGCATTCATCCTGCTGTTCCCTTTTTTCCTCTGAGGTGTGTATTTTCACCTGGCAGTAACTCACGACTTCTGCTTCGTTCTCAGACAAGGTGGTTTCTGGTGGTTTTAAGGATTTCTCAGCCTGTCTGAAGCTCCTTTGGTCATCGTCAAGATGCTGATGGTACTTGCTAGACAGTACTCCTTCACTGAGGACTGTGACTTCCTTATTTTGATTTAGTTGTTTCTAGGGGATTCTACAAAAGACCAGTCGCTGTAAACATTGCAGCCCATCCTTAAACACCTGGGTCTTAAAGTGAATGTTCTGAAGTGAAAAGACTATTATCACAGAGCAATTACCAACTCTCATGGTAAGAGTTCTCTGGCTGCAGGACGCCAGGATACTTTATCCTTAACTCAGTGCTTCACCTCTTCACAACTACATGAAGATGTCTCTCTCCCAGGGCATGTGGCAACTCTGGTATCTCATACTGAGCTGTTCTGTACTTTGCTCTGCACCTTTGCTACAAGCAGGTTGACATTCCTCAAGAATGCAAGGAGGTAGTTCATGTGGTGGCTCTGTGTCTCCAGGGGCATGCCCTTTATGTTCCCCCTGTCTTGACAAGGAGGGATATCAATATATTCTAAAATACCATGTGATTTCATTGCACCACAGTTGCATTTTTCATAAGGAGTAGCAGCTGTGCCAGTGCTCTGGAGATTTGGTCCATTTGGAGGACAGAGCCTTCCTGCTTTGCTTATGAGTGATGGCAGTATCAAATGGTTTAGGAGGGATCCTCTGTTCCCTCGAGGCAGCAGCTGCCCTAAGCGATAGGTATGGGGAGAGCAGGACTCCCTGAAGTTCACACTCGTCTGTCCTTCAGCTCTGACAGGTTGAGCTGTCTTGCAGTCTTTAGTGAAACATGGGAAATCAGCTCTGGTGGCCATGTGAATTTTTTCAAAGGATGCACAGCTGACATAGAAAATATTGATGCTTCTTTTTGAGAGAAGGTTTGTGTCCAGGCTTGGTCTTGGATACAGCCCTGAGGCTGGCCAAGTAGTCTGGTGCATGTTTCTCCATGTAGCTCTGTTGCCAAGCGCTGTGGGTAAGGCAGGACAAGTTTCCGCCTGTGCTCATTGTCCCTTTGCATTTTGGTACCAGGCCTTCTTTGCCTTTCAGAGACTTCTTCAGTTCTCTCAGTATGACCCATGTAACAGTTTGTCTCTCTCATCTCAATCTTGGAATAATCCACTTGCTGTGGATGCTGAATGGCTTTCCATTAGACTCTTCCTTTTCTACCCAGCTGGAGCCATTTTTTCTGAACCAGTAGGGAGGAGATGACTGATGATATGTATCTTGCCACAGTAGTCGGGCTTTCTGCTTTGTATTCCCTTCTGTTCATGGGTTTGTAGTCTGGGCTCTGTGGGGAAAGAAGTTCAACGTCTCCATTAGCTCTCTTGCCAGTCATTTTGGGTGATCATATGTTCATAAGTAAGATCTGTGGATGGAAGGTGGTGAATTCAGGCTTTTACCCATTTCAGCTTTTCATTGAGGTTTCCTCCTGCTGTGGAAAAAGTTCTTTGGAAGGGTTTAAGTGTAGTAACACAGGTTCTCATGAGTCATTGAACTGTTATATCTTTTTCTTTTCCTTTTCCCCTTTCTCTCTCAAAAATGACTTTCTTTACTGTTATTTTTGTTGTAAGTGTGGGTTAAATTCAAGCCATTATGCTTGATTTTTCTTGTGCTTCATCAAAGATTCTGTTGCCTGGACACATTTGAAATTTTTTTCCAAAGCTGGTATTTAAATTTCACCGTAACCAGATGATTAATGTTCTTCCAGACTGAACATCTCCATGGTTAATTGTGTGATTCTGCAGACACTGAGGGAGGGAGGACAAGGTTAAGGGGAAACTGAAATGGCACAGGCTGCACAGCCCCTCGCTCACAAGATGAGCAGGAAAAGGGAAGGGAGATACTGTAAAGGGTGGGGACAGACTTTGACTTAAAGGAACTTTGGTTTTTGTAAGTGAACTTTCTTGCACAGACAAAAAGTTCTCTTGCTTTAAGTACGTGGGCATACGTACTCCCACAATGGAAAGTACATATGGACTGTATTCCTTCAAGAACCCTGTTTACTGGTAATCCTTTTTCTGTTTCATATGGCACATAGTCAAATGGCGTTCAGGGAGCTCTTCTTTAACTGCTGACTTGAATCGACAGGTGCCTCATGATTTAGAGAGCCTCTGCTACCTTAGAGAACAAGGCAGTATGCTCCTTCACATGGAGCCTTTCAGTGTGGAAGACACCCAGCCTGAGGAGGGAGACACCATGTAATTTAAATATTTTATGGCAGTTATGCTGTGGCTGTCCTAAACCATACTCTGGATTGCAGAGACCCATTTCCAAGGACAAATGATTCAAACTGTTGCCATGTTTGATGTTAATGGATTGATACTACTTAATTTGTCCTCAAACTTAGATTTGACTTCTAATAAACACTTTGCTGGTGCTTTTTTATCTGTAGCACAGGAGTTAAAAGTCAGGGAGGACTGTTCACATCAGGACAGATTTTTTCCAGAAAGCACAGCACTACACTTTGAATTGTCTTCAAAGCTGGCTCTGTTCTCAAGACACACTTTGCTTTCTTTGTTAGATGTATTTTTTCTGAGCTGTGACAAAGAAAGGAAAGGAAGATTTTTTTTGTAACAGAGTCCTATCACTTCATCTTTGGACTACAGTTTCTCCTGAGGATCCTTTGGGGAATTAGGCTTGAAGGACATAAACAACTGGAGTGCACAGTCTCCCATAACATGTATTCTCTTTTCTTTTTTATGATAAAGAAGAAAGTTTGGCCCTAGGTCCACAGGGTTGGTTTTTTTTTTTCCTTTATGGTAAAGAGAGACAATATGAAACAGCTAGCTTACAGTCTTTTTTTTTTTTCCTAAGTTGTGCAAGCAACGTAGCATTTCTTGCGCTATGGTATCCTGGCTTCCTAATGATGATTGTGGATTGATTCACAGGTGAGGTGGCACAGCATGAAGTGCTTGAGTGCCAGAACCCTTGATTCAGATCCACGTTCTTTGTGTCGCAGAATACAATAGCAATACTGCTTTTATTTCTACCGCATAAAACTCTTCGGAATGTTTGAATCCCTCACTGTCAGTATATAGGGACCTAGGTTTGTCTGAGCTATTCAGTCTGTTGTCTTAGCAGGTGTTTTGCAGATCTGCAAGAGCTTTCAGGATCATTTCTCATCAAAGATAATATATCAGTTGTATAATTAAAAGATGCGGTCTTGCTTCAGGTTTTCTAAACTTATGCTAAAATAGGACATGAGGCCCAGACAGATAATGAACAGAATGAATATAAACACAGAAACCCTGCAGCTCCTATGGAAACGTGCCAAAGAACATTGGGTACTCTGTTGTTAAACACGTGCGGGTTTTGTTTCTTTACTTTTTTCTCTTCTGCTTTGCTATATTTTTGAGGCCTTACTGTACAGTCTAAATCTTCAGGCAGGCCTAACGATCCAGCCAGTGCAGACCTCCTCTTCTCCCTGCTTGCATCCGTTTATTGCAGAATATGCTGCCTATCTGTCTTACTGGAGGGTTGTTTCTTGTTCAGTGTCATGACATCAGTGATTAAACTGCACTGAAGTTATTCTCTCTCTTCAATTTAGGAACAAGCTAAAGCCAAAAAACAAACTCCACCGCCATCTCCTACCACGCAGCCAGCTGAGCAGAAGGCACCCTCAAGCCCAGTCTATCAGGTTTGCTAGAATCACTTTCAGTACCTGGTTTTTGATCCTAAGCATGGGAACCTTTTTGCAAAACCCTAACAAACCTCACCTGTATTTCTGCAGGATGCAGTTTCCTATGAAGCAGAGTCTTCCTACAAGAATTCCAGTACAACGTATTCAGCTGCACGTGAGCCAGATTCTGGCTACAAAGCTGCAGAGTCGGACTACCAAGAAGCAGTGAGTCAGCGAGAGGCAGAATATGAACCCGAGACTGTCTATGAAGTGGCAGGGGCAGGAGACCATTACCAAGCAGGTAAGAGTGTGTGTTTCTGATATGAAACCCTTTAAGATAAAGATTATTTCCTTGGGCAACAACTTAATGAATAGTTGTGCTGATAGTGCACTGTCCTAGTTTTCTAAGGTCTTCATCTTGATGAGACTTTCTAGATTCTCCACCAACAAACTTTAATTAGGAAATTAAGATACGGCTAGAGGAACGGTGAATTTGCTTAACTTGTGAGGTGATGTGGGAATAATTACAGTGCTGTCTAGGGTATCAGTTCAAAAAATAAGTGTAGGGGTAACCATTTCCACCCAGTGCAGTGCAGCTCAGCTTGAGGAAGAAGCACAGAGATAGAGATTAAACGTGTGTTGAGCCAGTGCTGGCCTACCAAGGAAGAAACTCTGTCAACAATTCTTGGACTTTGAAATGGCTGTGGTGTGTTCTGTGCCTGTGAGGGACTGGGGTAAGGACGTCTGAAAGTAATGAAATGGAAGGAATAAGGTTCTTTTGAATGCCTGTTTTTCTTACCTCTTCTGGTTACTAAATGAGGTGTGAAGAATGAACCTGCTTGCCCTGGTATGAAAACCTGGGAATTTTAAACAGGCTCCTTCCTACCCCACAAGGTGCATACTTGTATTAAATAGTCTCTTACACAGTGATCTTGGGCTCAGTTCTTGTCCTGTCACATTTTACTGAAGTATTATAAGGCTGATCCTTTTTGTTTGGTACTGTATTAAATTCCTACTTGTGAACATTGCCTTTCAGGCTTTAATTGTGTGTGATGTAGGGAAAAAATCTGATATAGAAGGAACATCAGCACTGCTAAAAACTTGCATAGTTTGTTCCCTGCTTGCTATGTGGGTTAGTAGAATTAAAGGAGGAGCACCATAGAAAAGAACTTGGCGTGACAGGTAATGTACTTCGTGCTTTTAATTTTTTTTTTACTCTGTCTCTCTTTAGAAGAAAATGCTTATGATGAATACGAAAATGAACTTGGAATTACAGCCATAGCCCTTTATGATTATCAGGCTGGTAAGCAAAGCTCTTATTTTTAACCTTGTCTTTGAAATCTCTGCACAGATAGATCTGGATTTTTCCTTTGCCTTTCATCACGTAGTCTCTTGTAGTAGTATATGAAATGAAGATAGGAAGAATTAGGAAATTAGTAATTTAGCAATAGCATTGAGACACTTTTCAAAAGTACTAGCCACTGTTTCTGGACATGGTGGAAGTTTTCAAAATCTTTTGTGTTAACAGTCGTGTTAAACCATGTCATACGGAGTTGTTTAAAATCTTGACTGGTTAATTCTGGGGAGAGATCAAGAAAGTAAAGTGGTTTTCAAGTAACAATTGTTGCTCTTAAGTTAGAAACACGCCCAAAATGCAGTAGGTAAGAACCAACTACCTCATTGCTCCAGCGGATGAGAAGGCATCCGTCTGCACAGGTTGTCACTGCCCGGCGCCCTGTCCCACCCCCCCGAGGGCAGAGGGGACGGCGAGGAGGGTCTGTGTTACTCTTGGCGCCGTTGGGTTGGTAGGTGAGGGTGTCCTGGGGGCTGCTCCTGGGCGAATACTGAGCCTCTTCACCTCTCTCTCCAGCGGGGGATGACGAGATTTCCTTTGACCCGGATGACATCATCACAAACATAGAAATGATTGATGACGGCTGGTGGAGGGGTGTCTGCAAAGGCCGGTATGGGTTGTTCCCTGCGAATTATGTGGAGCTGAGACAATAAACCCTATTGTCTACTGGTGATGCCTTAATTCCCCAGTCAATAAATCTGACTTAATACACTACAAATCATGATGCTTTTCTGAGGATGAAGGGGTATATACATATTGCTTTTATATTTAATACTTTGCTGATGCTTTTTAAAATGTTTATGCCACAGAAATCGCTAATATATTGTAACTATTATGTTCTTCACTAAGGCTCTTAAAATGATTTTCATGCATTTGGAAACATTTCTTCTCTGCCAAATTAGCAATTGTCATAAAAAGCCTTTTCAAGGACAGTTAGCTGTCTGTTGTAATATTGCATGTTTTACTCATAAGTGAGCAGATTTACTTAGTGTTTAAGTCTAGTTAGTCTTCCACTAGATGTTTTAAGCTAAGAAAATCATGGCTATGCAGGTTATTTGCGTTTCCACTAAGCGGGAGTGGGGAGGACTGGGGTGGTGCATAATTTTTTCTTTTCTTTTCCAGATAGTGCTTGAAAAAGCAAAGAGAATGCTTGAAAGTTGCAGATAACGGCAGTTAATCAAATACTGTCCAATATTTATGGAATATTAATCTTATGAAGGAAACAGTCTGGTTACTTTTTCCTTCTCTTTTTAAGTGAAGTTCCTTGGCTCTTGCATTGATATTTTTTGTCTTCATTATTTTTTTTCTGATCTTGCTCCTCCTGTTCATGTTATCCCAGAGGAGGGCTGCAAACATTCTCGTACCGATTGTCCCAAATTTCTTTACTTTTTATTTCACCCTCCTGTTTCCCAGGAAAACTTGAAAAAGTTACTATACAAGTGTTGAGTCACTCAGTGAGATTCCTACTTGTTCAAAGGGAAACTGGCATCCAAAGCTGTGTGACTACCTGCAGGAATACTCATAGCTTTAAACAGGAGAAAAAAGGCAGGCTGGAATTGCAATTGTGCTCTGTGTGCAACACATCGTTTCTTCACACAAGGAATGGCCTGCTGTGCAGTAGTGACAGTTTATGTAACCATTTTTGAGTCAAGGAATGTTAATACAAGTAATTAGATTTAAAACCCATATAAATGATCTCCATTTTTAAACCATACAAGAGACAGCTATACTTTTTGTATGTTCAGCAGAAACTGCCAGTAACATTCTTCTAAACAACAAAATTAAACCTCTTCTTTGCCAAAACTGAAATCCTTGTTCAAGAAAGCTGACTTCACTGCAGATTTAGGGTCCCTACCAAAGATAGTAAGTTGCATCTAGTAGTGCACATGTTCAATGTATGTACTGTCTGTTTCCACCTTCTGATCAAAATGGGAATGGCAGAACTGGTGTAGTTAAGAAAGAATGCAAAGAATTTTTATAAACTGTAAATTTGGACCAACTGAATATAGAAGGCCTGTATAAAATGGTGAAATGTACAATGTATCTAGGATGAAGGCATCATGTTGAACCAATTCTTGGGTGGTTGGGACAATCCTTAATGAATGTCATATGTGTGTCATGATTCTATTTTTTTTTTCCTTTCCATGGTCTCATTTCTGTGTTGTATTTGCATTACTAGGGTTGGGTTTTATATGCAGTTTATTTTATCCAATTTTGCATAGAACACCTCATAGGGATATGATTTTTGTAAATTAAATATTCAATAAACTTTTTGAACCATTTGCATGGAATATTTTTGTTTTTTTAAATTGCTTTGTCAGTCTGTTACAGATACTTCATCTTCTCTCAAGCTCCCTAGGGTGAGCCCGCTGCATGATGCTCAGGGCTGTTCTGAGGGCACCTACATTCTCCTAGGTCTTTCCCTTCCTCAAAAACCCACTTGCTTTGCCTTTTACTCCTAGTCCCATGTGGAAATATTTAGATCAAAATTGGAGTTTGGGTGAACTTAAAGGAGAGATGATTTTTTTTAAAAAAATAACCTTAACATCAGGATCTGTTTTGTCGTTTACGCACTGGTTACTTCTGCTGAAAATACTGGTGAGCCGTGGTTTTGGTGAGATTTGCTCCTGACTTTTGGGGATACTTTCAGCTGAAGGACACAGAGTGCTCTCAAAAACACAGCTGTTGGTTATGGTCAAATAAAATTTTATATCACCTTAAAGCTGTTCTGCTCTTGTTCATGACAGGGATCCTTAGGTCAGGTGCTTCCCAAAGCTTTGTTCCTGTAAGCCTTGGCTGCAGAAAGGTGTCCTGCTTTCCTCTCTTAAGGAAGCCTATATTTTACTCTTTCTAATCCTGAACTTTTCTGAGAATCTGGTACTTGACAATGCTCTGCTGAAATGCTAAGAAAGAAAATCCTAACACCCTTTTTCTAATTATTCTTTAATGCTACTGTATTAACAGGAAATCCAAGGCTTCAGCGCTCACTGCTGCAAGTCCTAAAATACAGTGAGAGCCATTGCTTTAGCAGATAACTTAAAAACAGGTGACTCCAGAAGAAAATGTGCATGTACAGGTAGGCTTTCCATGCTAGGAGGGGTGGAGGGTGGGGTTATTAAAAAATCTATGCTGCTGAAAGGAGATTTTAGGGGGCTGGTGTGGGAAATGAGCCCGTCAGCAGGAGGTGGCAGCCCCGGAGCTGTCCCTGGGCTTGACCCAGCCGTGAGCAGGTAGGACAGTGCCTGAGCTCAGGCCTTTTGATATTTTCTGTGTGAAGGCATGGGAGTATGGCTACAAGGTCTGGGGATGGGGGCTGCTGAAACCAAACAGGCCCAGAGGAGGTTGCCACAACTCCCTGCCTGGCAAGAAATGAGCTAGCAGGGAGGAAAAAGCGGGAAAGAAGAAATGACACTCTGTGAACTTGCTGTGGGTACTCTTCATAAACAGCATCATGGGGAAAGTACTGCAGTGCTGTGTCCATATCGTGTGTCAGAGAGCAAGATGGGGAGGAACAGAACCACTGGACGAACAAATTGGTGATACTGTGAGCAATATTATGGGTATTAAGTCTTGGGAGCTTATTCATGGATTGCCTCACCTAATGAAGAAAGTATCTTCTCTAAGCTACTAATCTATCACAGTGTGGCAAGATTGTGTACTAGATTGATTTAATATCTTGCCAAGGACATTTAGGTAGCATGTTATGACTGTACTACTGATACTGTGAGATTAGATGTAGTCGAGTCTGAAATTTTAAGCTCACTATTCCCCAGCAGTAATTGTTCAGGTTACCCAAAACGCTGCTGGAAAAAAACCACCCCAACCTCTCTGCAGGTACCATCAGAAGGGCTGGCTCAGCCCTCCTTGTGGGTAACTAATGCAAGCAGCGAACAAGCCCATTAATTTCTGTTAATGGATGTCTCACTGATTCACTGTCTGACTTTGGGTGAGCCATTTACTTTCCTGGCACCTTGAATTCATCATGTTGCTTTCTTAATGCAATCCCACTGTTGCTCTGAAGCATGCTGGGGCTTCAGCTGACAAGGCAGCAGCACCACCAATTTTACTCACTGTCTAATCAAAGATTTTACATTTGAGTGTTATTCTTCTAAATTAATTACGCCCATAGTAAGAACACTCAAAGTATTTTTAATATAAATATTTTATATTATTTTATAACATTTCATTTGCCTATTTCTGTAATAATTGCTAGCGATGAGAGAAGGACATAGTTTGAAAAGTGGTTATGTGGGAGTTGGAGAAATTCTCAGTGACATGAGACACCCTTGACTGTCCCATCTTGCCACGTTTGTGTGGCAGAAATTGGCTGCATTAGATCCCCCTGGATTAAATCCCCAAATGTGGGGCACTAGCGGTTGTGGGAGTGGATGGAAAGTTTCACTTCATTCAAACTGATGGTATTTCCCTACACGTGTACATTAGTCTCACTGTGTCTGAGGGTCTTCTCATGTTAATTGTAGGTCGCTAATTGCCATCTTTTTACTCACTGAATAAATTGAAATAGATCTGCCTTTCCTGCCAGTTTGCAGCAAAAGAGTGAGCTCCGGGCTAAGGGAACATTGCCAGGCAGCCTCTCCCGAGGACGGAGTTACCCCACCCATCGGGCAGGTCGTGTAGAGGCTGGCTGAATAACGAGAGTGATGAAGAGCCCCTCTGCAGCATGCAGGGTGAGCAGCTCAAAATCATTTTAAGAGCCTGGCAGAGTTTTACCAATGCATTTCTCGGATGCATTTTATCAAACTCTCCTAAGCTGCTGCTTTATTTTTAGTCTGCACAGATGGCAAGCTTAAGAGGATGGTGAAGAATGTGCTTGCATCCGATTTATTTTATATAAAGCCTTGAAGCTGTGGAGTATTTTGCTGGGTTTTTATGTGCAATGGGCCATTACCAACTTGTTAATTTTGACTAGATTTTCAATAGCAAGAATCAACCTAACAGTTTTTTTGATTTTTAACCAAGGAAGGGGATCAGGAGGCAGGGGAAATTACAAAATGAAGTGCAGGGATGTTCCTCTGAAGAGGTGGTTTGGTTTGATAAAATGCATACCAGTAAAAATTTTATATTGCATGTGATCTGCATGTGCTCTGCAGTTTATCTGAACCTGTAAGGTCAACCATCACAATCGTCTCAGCATATCCTGGTTTTTATGTCCCTTTTCTATCAAGAAGAGTAAATGCTAATTACCAAGGATCTTTATCTGAAGCACCTACTTTTAGATGAATGCTTTTGCAAATGCAGACTTAAAGCCACCTATGATTTCCTGAGAGACTTCAGCCTATAATAAGAGCTTTCAAAGTGCAACCCACGGATGTTTAACACCCAACCAGCAAGTTGATTCCTTGTGGTATGGAGTTCAAGAACTGCTGCCATTTCATGTAGTTACCATGTTCACTGTAGCTACCTTGCTGCAGGCTTTCTACCTTACACAGGGACATGGAGCCTCAGGATTTAGGCTGCAGTAGTGTAGGCACTTGTTCATATCTCAGTATCAACAGGATGCTAAAGACACCTCGCTTAATTTTTACTGAATTTGAAGAAGCTTCCTCAAATTCTCCTCACATTGAGGACACTGCTCTTACTGTGATTTACAGACACTGCTGTAAAGTTAGTTGGCAAAAGAGAAATTGATATATTAGTCCATGGAAAGAGGAAAAGAACAAAAATCGATCTTGACTGTGCAATGCTAAGAGCACTGTCTTGGATGGCTTCCAAAAAGGGAATTTGAATTGATCCAAATAGCTTTACTTGACATATTTATCCCAGAATCTGGGAAGCTCAGACAGAAGAGGGGTGATACATCTTCGCCTTCCTGGAAAGTGTCATGCACACAGCAAGGGAACCTTAAAGAGAAGTGCATGGTGGTCTAGTACAGCTTGCCACAAACCCAGAGTTCAATGGCCATTTGCGTTCAGGCAAGATTAATTTAGCAATTACTCTTATTTGAGTAGTCAAAAAAAGTGTCTAGCTGTTTCAGCTGTTTCCATTACCTAAGCCCACTGAAAATGAGAACCGGGGGCTCTGCCTGCAGAGAACAGGAGCTGACATTTACCTCTTGCATTCGAACTGGCTGTTCACACAGCAGCCATTCTATAAGCTTAACTAAAAAGAAAGAGACAGTGGCACTTCAGAGTTGGAAACACCAGCTTGTTAGCCTTCAGATGAGGCAGGGTGCCGATCCGCACCGTACAGGCTCCAAACAGCAGAAAAAAACCCCCACACAGCTGTGTGGTTAGATGCCTTCAACTCTTTCTGCAGACAAAGGAGCTTGGCCAAATCCCAGCTGAAGAACCAGAGGGTGGCTTTTGGTGTCCTTGTCCTCCTCCAAGCTGTACTTACTGCTCAGCTCAAAACCTAGGGGATGGCTACACCTGTTTTGGCTGACTATAAACTAGCAGTTTAAAAATTAAAACCAAATTTATGATCCTCAAAGAGCTGGTCTCACTCATCTTCCCAGGTCAGCATTTTTCATGTCAAATTCCAGATTTTCAGTTCTAGATGTTTGGGGCAGTGCAGTGTACTGCAAAAATACAAGATGTCAGAGGGACTGAAAATTAAAAGCTAAACAAGGCTAATGAATTATCTTGATGGCAAGCTCTGCTGCAAGAGGAGGACTCCTAAGTGTAGAATAAGCTTCAGGCTAATGCCAAGTCAGGAGCTGGGGCACTGCTGAGACTCTTTCTTAATTGATTTTCTTTTACGAGTTTTGTAAGACCTATGCCTTCAAAAGCTTTTGTGAAATTATGCAGTTTGCTTTCTTGCCCATTTTGGCAAAGAGGCCAAAGAGGCTGAATAATATTACCTTTGCTCAGACAAGTTGTGAAAATGTCAGGTAAAAAGCTTTATAGTTTTTATTAATAACAATTTTCCTCACTGTTTTGAGCCTAGTAAAGCTGTCTTTGAAGAATCATTACAACTTTTTAACGGAATCAAGAAATACTTTGCTTCAATAACATCCGTGATTAGAGACCAGGCCATGAAGTAGTCAAACATAGGAGCTTGTGCTGGAGGCACTAAGGCAGAAGTATGACGTCAGCATCCACTCTGCCTCTGCATCTTTCCTTTGTGTGGAAAAATTTTAAAAACTACATTCTTTGGTGAATTAATGCTTAAAATCTTAAGCCCACAGAATGACACTAGCGTAGAAGGAGTCCATGGTAATTTTATAGCTCTATGAAGTGGTTGATTAGTGTTCAAGTTCAGCATGAATTACTGCTTGAGCAAATTACTCCACAGCTGCTGGCTTATTCAAGTGACATCCAATCTGATG